GTAAGTATCTAGGTAAAACCGTCCAATACTTAATAGAAATAAAAAACATGTGTCTTAGAATTTAAGGGTGGTGGCTCTAGTAAACGAAATAAAAATATATTCACTTTAGGAGAATTTTTATGTACCTTCCTGTCCCGTTGAAAGAATTGCTTAAGAAACGAAGAATTTTAGAGTTATTAATAAATAATTTCGGTTTGAATTTTTTCCTGATAGTCAGTTGCGTTCATGACCACCATTTTCTTTATTTGCTTTTAGAATTACGATGTCGGGCTAAGAGCGAATTGCGGAATCGCCGGAAAATAACCAAAAAAGGGTGAGGGTGATCATTACCATGGCGTACCCCTGAAGCAACCGCGACCCAATTCTGAGACACGGCGGCACGGCCTAAGCCGCCCGTTGCACCGCCGCAGGCCCAGAGAACAACAAGGAAGGACCTTCAGGCTCCTCTAGTGTTGAAACTCTGAGTGAATCCGGCCAGGCGGAACATAAAAAACCGTTTCCGATGGAGGGGAAGGGCATATAGTTCCTGCAAATTAACTTGCACCGCAGCTGTGAGGCGTCCTGTTTTCTGGGGCGTCGAATGACTGCGGAACGACACACATAGCTCTAAATCGAGAACCTTGATGTGCGAGAAGAAAATTATTTAGTTTTTCCAGTGACAGCCGGCGAGAGAACTAGGACTTGCGCGGTGGTGGCGGTGGCAGGAAGGAGGTGGGCGACGACAGCACGTGCAGGCTGTGTTTAGAAGAGGAGGAAACTCCTATTCTCCTAACCAACTGCGCACCACTAGGGGGCAGCCGATTAAGAGTGCTAGGAGCTCAATTCATTGTACCTGAAGAACTATCTAGATTCTCCATGAAAGAGGTGTTGTGCTTCTTCGAGTATAGAGGGATCTTCTAGGGGAGAGAGTGAAGACGTGCGGGCATAATAAATGGAAAGGTCTGAATGCAGAGCTCTGGCCACAAAGGACAGGGGCCCACCGCAGATAAAATAGAAATGGCAATACTTGCTTAAATCTCAAAGGGTTTGCAAATTACATTTTACGAAATTTTGCAAAAAAATTGCTTAAGTTCGGAGTAAATAGCGATTAGAAATATAAAGGCCACGGCTATGCCTGTAATACAGGAATTTATGAAGCAAATATGAAAATTTTTTGAGAAGATCCATTCAACAACCCAGGTGGCCGCTGACAGATCGCTATTAATTTTGGATGAGACATTTTTACTGCAGTATTTTCTCAAAATATAGCTAGATCTCGTACAATGTTCTGGGAAAACGAGTTAAGTCTGTGGATTTTAGAAACAAAATATCGCAAAGTGCAGGTTATTGGATAAATTGTTATTCTAGTAGGGCCACTATATTATCAAATAGCTATATGGGTCGAATGCTTTGAGGAAATAACGATTGTCCTCGAATGCGCGGAAATTTCGCTCGGTGCGGCAACGTGGCACAAGTAACTAAATCCGGACGTTGACTTGGAACGGGGGTTGGAAGAACCTCTCGCGGCAAAGTCTCTGGGCAATTTAGCTAGGCACGTGCCGCGCAATCGACTTCAGGTTCAAGGAACGAGAAACAAGCTCGGCCATGGCCGCTCCGCCAAAAAGCAATGAAAAGGAAACAACGACTTGGAGATTCAGTGAATTCCATCAATCGAAATGGAATTGTTCCGGCAATGTAGCTAATATCGATAATGGCAAGACAAATTTGATTTAGAGTAAGAAGGCTACTAATGGTGATTGTTTTCTCTGTCATAATGACTAATGACATATAAGTGGAATAAGAGGTTAATTTATATTTTGCTCTAATGACTTCTTTGGGAGTATACCGTTTGTGAATTATTGCAATCGTTCATGCTTGTTTGAGCTAAGTGGTTGTATATATAGAATACCTACTAATTTCATACTGGTGTCTATAAACAATTTTTAAAACGCAAATTCTTCTGCAGTACTCTATATACCCGGCAAAAGAAAGATTCCTTTTTTGATGATCCATGATCTGGACGTAATTTTAATAATAACTCGAGTTATTATACAGGGTGCCTGAAAAATCATGCACTATCGCTCGGCTGGAGATTCGCTATCCAAACAAAAAGAAAAGGGTTATATAAAAATAGTAAGTAAATGGGCTATTATCTTGATTCGGGTTTAAAGGCCGTCGTCGGTTGGAATTACTTCCTAACGTTTCGCTAGCACGAGTGGCGAGCTTCTTCAGAGATAATAGCTCATCAACGGGCCGCGAAAGCCTTAACCAATTTATCAGTAAGTAAATGCTTAAATTTCCAAGATCCAGCGTACTTACAAAATTCCTAGTGCTTCCCAAAGGAGGAACAAGACTCTTGAAAAATGCCTATTGCCAATTCCATTTTTTTTACAACGTTGGAAAGACTTAAATTTCAATTTGTAAGTATATTATTGTATTTGCGCTCTTTAAATTATTACGAATTTTGTTTTATACAAATATTAATGGAAAATAGTTTCGATTAGAATATATCGGTAAATAAAGTACGTCTCACTTTTTTATCACGCCGTTGTCATTGCGGAGTTTAATCGAGTTTATATTGACTAGATAAGTGTCGTCGATATCGACACCGTCGATGCAACCGCTAGGTCGATAGATGTGTCCGCGTCTACAGCGGAACGCCGCGTGGAATGCGACCGGGCAGCTTCCATCGCGGCACCGAACGCGCCTCTCGCTATCTTCACTACTAACCGCGCGGCTCCCTCCTCCCCTTTACCCCGGTCACGACACCGGACCAATTTCTGGTTCGCGCATTTTTCGCGTGCGCGTTTTTTGGAATCGCCGCGTAATTAGTAATTTCGCGAGTTGAGTTGTTATTTTAATTCGGGCGTTTCGTTTTTTCGTTTACGACCGACCGAGGAGACCCCGTGTATCGATTTCGTGTCGCCCTAAACGGCTTCATTTCGTCGCCCGGATGCTCGGTCGGCAGTTTTGTTGATCGCTGCGTTTTTTCTTGCTTGAACTAAACAAATCGAGCGTTCGAAAAGTCGAGCGCTGCGCGATAGGCCGCCAGCATACCACGGCCGTGCGAAAGGGTGCATACGCTACGTGCATTTTCCTTTTATTTTCTGTTGGGTCAGCTGGCGGCGCTGCGAGAGTAAACAAATATGATGCTTTGATGTTGAATTTTTGTGTTTGAGGTTGTAATTTCGGCCCATTTTGCAAGGTTCTCGATTAAGAGCAGCAAATTTGTGGAATTTTCGGCACGAAAATTGGCGAAAAATCTTAATTTGTCCAGAACACGATAGAAGTGTAGTTTCAAATGATTGTTGAGAGTGTTCAACCCCAATATATAGAAATCTAAATATTTGTATGTATTTGGAATGCAGTAGAACTAATATGAATTTATACAGTTCTATGCAATGTGCCGCTAAATCTTTTAATATCCCAAATAATATAAATTCTATTCATTTTCTTGCTATTCTGTAAGTGAACTTAAAAAGTTCATAGTTATCTTGTTATAGTTAACGGATGACTGGTTCTAGAATTACATTTATTTAAAGGGTCGATTTGTATTTTAGTTGACTAGTTGATAATAATCTCGGGAATAGTATTATACACTGGAGATTTAGATATAAGAGATAATGTATATATATAATTAATAAAGTTTTTTTTTTAAACAAAAAGTGATTGTTTTCATTGAGAACCATCGGTTTATACCTTTGATTAGACGAAAATTTATTGTTTAAAGTCAATTTGGTGATAAATAGAACTTTTTCTCATCTACATTTTTAGCTGTAACCGAAAGCAGAAAAGGACAAGAAACAACAACATTCCTTAGAAAGGTTCACACGTTTAAGCTACCGAAAAAAAATGGCGGTACAGACAAACAACATAGGCGCTTAACACTTCTTCATTTCGCTTCCCAAGGCATATATAAATATACTTATATGTAAAAAACGTTCAGCTTTTACATTACGGAACGCAAACAAAGCGGGTCGCTACCAGAAAAAAAAGGCGGAGAGGTGTTTTTATAAAAACAAAAACTACATACAAACAAAACGCGATTACTTTGTGTTTGTAAGCTTTTACCGGTGATATTTACTTTAGGGATTGACGATGAAAGCCGCAGGTAACTTTTGGTGCTTTACCAGAGAACCACTAAAATTAAATTGAGAATTTTGCGTTCCTTAAGACGTTTGTTGTTCTGTGATCCGCATATTATTGTTTATAAATTCGATGCGAAATTTTTCTAGTAACGCATGTAAGACGCATTTTTTTTTTAAGCGACCCTACAAAAATTTTTGTATGTACAACGCAATAAGCAACCACGTGCGAGCCAGATGTTTTTCTTAAAACCGCATTTTCGTGCCCCTCGCGCTGTCAGGATATCGATTAGTAGAAGCGCATCATTTATAATAAACACAGTTTTGAGTAAGATTTTAAGAAATCTTTCATCTTTCATGATGGTGTCGTTTTATTGGCCAAAATACCATAGTTGATCGGTTTCATTTTTAATTTATAAAATATACCCAAGGAACTTAGTTAAATATTATAGTGTGTTCTTTTTTTCAACAATTTGAAACGTTGTTGTTAATTTGTTGGTTGAAAGTCGAGGCTACTGTTGCACGTTGTTGTCCTTCAGTATATTATAGCCTGACCTGTTTCGTGTGTTTCTGCTCTTAGTATCTATTGCACGATCGAAATAATCAGCACTAGTGATTGAAATATTATATGTCTTTCTGCCCTTAGTACCAACATAAACTGAGTTCCAGATTTTATGCTAAGATATACGTGTTAAAGTAAACAAGATATACGGTAAAGTGATATTAAGTAATATTAAGTTTGTCTTATTATTTTTAAGAATCGTTTGTTATTTTTTTTTAGTTTTTTTAGTCATCTCACCTTTCGTTTTGACCAAAATACTTAATTTCATTCTTTAAAAAAAATTAAATATATTATACATTTAATATATAAATTCGAGGAAACGCTTCTCCCGCTTTTTTAGACGACGCGATAGCGTTTACGCATCAAAAACTCACCGGTGACGGAATTGATCTGGAAACTGCCGTTGGCAGGCGCGAGGCTGTACCGCACGGCCGCGTTGACGCCCGCGTCTTCGTCCCGCGCCCTTAACTTCCCTACCGAAGCTCCTCTGGCGAGGTTCTCCTCGATGCGGAACTCGTACGCCACCTCATCGAACACGGGATCGTTGTCGTTCGCGTCCAGCACCACTACCGTCACCTGGACCGTGGCCGTTTGTGACGGAGTACCGTTGTCCTTAGCCGACACCAGGAAACCGTACCCGTCAATGGCCTCCCTGTCTAGGTTCTCCTTCAGGTAAAGCCAGCCGCTGTTAGGGAATATTCCGAAGACAGATTCGACGGAACGGTTAGCTGTGACTAGGCGATACGTGATCCTGGCGTTGTTGCCGGTGTCGGCATCGACGGCCGTGAATTGAGCGATCTGAAACAAAACCAGGTGAAAGGACTGGTGATGGAAAGGCGTTGAACGATCTCCTCGTACTTGGGAGTTCACCGGCAACGATTCCATCACGTTCAGGGTGTACGAGTTCTTCTCGAACACCGGTGGATTGTCGTTCATGTCCTGCACCTCGATCATGACGGTGAGGTTGGCGGAAAGGGGCGGCGAGCCGCTATCGGTCGCGGTGACGACGAGGGTGTGTCTCTGGGTCGTTTCGAAGTCCAGGTGTTTAGCGAGGGTCAGGTGGCCTAGTTTGGGGTCGATCTTGAACGTGCCACCGTTGTTGGACGCGAGACGGTACCGTACCACCCCGTTGGAGCCGGAATCTTTGTCGCTTGCGTGAGCTGCGTAAAAAGGTACGCCCAGTTCGGCGTTCTCCGGTACAGATATCCGCACCACCGCCGATTCGAACTCCGGTACGTTGTCGTTGATGTCGTCGATGTCAATGTTCACCTTTAAGAGGAAACCGGTCGTTTAAATTCGTTTTGGTGGAGAAATTGGAGTGTAGTGGTGTAGATATTAAATACATGTCCATCTACTTGATTCATGACCAACGACAGACTTCCATAAAATACGTCTAAAGAAGTTGTTAGGCTTGCATGACACTAACCCCAAATGTAAGTATTTTAACTGCGTGAAACCATGTTTTAGACACTTGGTTTCAATTTATGGCAAACGGCAATGGGAAAACGGACAATACCATGACCTTTCCAGATTTTCCGTTTCTAATGGGAATGATAACGTTTAAACTATTCAGGATAAAGATAAGGATATAGATGAATAAATTCCTAAAACTACCGAAACCAAAAACAGAGAATCATTAATTTCTTCAGTTATTTGTTCACGACAAACTTCTTCAACCATGCACTGTAACAGATGATTCTGAATTTCTTTGAAAGTGCCCTTAAATATTAAATAACTTTTTATACAAGCTTTATCGCCACCAAAAATTAAGCAGGGAAAACAATATAGAGCATTTTTTTGTTACATCCGCAAAATTCATTCATTTTTTGAGTAAATGTACTCATACCTTTTGCTTTTAATTCTGACTTCCCTTCGTATGAATATTGAATATTTAAAAAATATCTTTTAGAATTAGTTCACCGTGAAGATCAATTGTCTGAGATACACAAAAACATTATTATTGTTTTTACGTTCAACACGCCGCGCGAAAGCATTATGGATTTTATTGTTGATAAAAGAAAATATTTTAGTCAGACTATTTAATTAAGATTTTTTTCTGTAGGTTCTTAATTTTTTTGGGCGCCCTCATATACCCCAGCCGCCCCTGGAAGTGGATCAAGCAATATTTTTTTTGAAAACCAAATTTATTATATCCTTCCTGGCACATTTAGGTATTTCTGTTTTAACAAAAGAACAAATTGTGGTTTTACAATAAATATCTTCGGAGTACAAGTGTTTTGTCCACGGCGTGTCCCAGTATTGAACCACTATTACCAACATTGAACTTTTAAATATGTATAACCAAATATCATGTGCAAACAAGTGAATTTCAGAAGAAACTGATTTTGAAACCTACAATTTTTGTACAACTTTTTCTTTTTTTTTAATTGAAAATAAATGCAGTAGAACTATACTAAAATCAAGGAAATTTGGTTCTTTGAAAATTTAATTTTTGTAGTGTCAATACATTATACAACTAAATGTAAATTTCATTTAACCGATACTCCATAACGTTAATGTTTCAACAGTTATTGCATGACCAAAAAGATTGCTTTAACATTTTAAGTGTTTTACAGTACCTTATCCCAACAGATGCTTACTCTGCATTACGTAGGTCTTGCCTGAGATGGACCGAAGCGAATATTTGCAGAAACTTGAAATTTTTATTTGAAACGTAAATGGACCGTTTCAAATTTGATTAAGCATATTTGCGGGGTATTTTCGAATAAGTAAAAGCGTTTAGTTTGACATCAATCATCAGTTTAATCTAAATTGCAATATATTACGGATAGATTTGAAAATAATCATTTTTGTCTTTTGTGCCTGTAGACTAACAACATTATTCTTCTTGTATTTTTGTGTCTTCTGCGTAGTTCTTGACAATTTAGAAGACGAACTACCTCAGCAAATAAAAAAATGGATCCATTTATCTTCGGATGGTAAGCAAGTTGTTTTGAATGTTTACAATTTTATAAGAAATTCACAAGGGGAAGTAGGAGCAGCAATAAAAACAAGTGACAGAACATAATAAATTGTTACTTTTTTTACTAATTTTTGGTATGTACATGTTTCAAGAATTGCTCGGCGAACAAAATTGAAAATATACTTATATCCAGTCTGTTAGTGTAGGTAGATAAATTCCTAAGACGGTCCTGGAATGGTTACGGGTAAGGATCTGCTCGGCAGGGTGTTCTATAAGGAGCTGCGGTTTTATAGTAATAAACAGTAGGCAAAGTTAATCACGGGCTCGGTTGTAAAAGCACTATAATTCTGGCCCAAGTATACCCTTGCAATCTCCTTGGTTACCACCCTATATACGAGGTGAGTAGAAACTAATTCCATTTACCTGCGTGTGTCCGTAAATCGGTGGATTTCCGCTGGTCGCTTGGACGTTGAGCAAAACCGTCGACCTGGTCTCGTGGTCGAGACGCCCGGCGACTTTGATGGCGCCGCTGACCGCGTCGATTCTGAAAAAGCCGTCGGGGTCGCCGGAGTAGATGGAATAGCGTGCATTACTTCTGCCTGCAACGAAAAAGAAGGTTGTTCTCTCTGTCGGCGCGTTATATACGGGGTGTATCGTAAAACGACTACCCATAAAACTTTAACGGATGGTGATAAACACCGCTTAGATCTCGTAAACCGAAATGTCCGTTACGGCACAATTAAAAAGGCAATCGGCTATAATTTTAACACCTCGCCGCTAAGTGAGGTTTAATCGTTTTTGTTCGCGGTTGGCAAACACCTTCGCCCGACCGAGACGTGTACCGGGTGTTTCAAATTCGACAGTCGCCGTTGCCATTTCGAATACGGTAAAGCCCAGTAGACACAATACAATAGTATATTATGCAACAAATGCGGTAAACGGAATTTGACACGAGAGGAGCGAGTTTTTAATAAACGAGTGAGTTAAAAAGTTTACCAAACGTGTTGCATACTATACTTTTTATACGACCGTTAGTTTTTGGGTACATTTTGGCAAAACATCTCGAATACATTCACTGACATTACCGTCAGAATTCATAAATGCCATAATTCAAAGCGTGGGAAATATCTCCGAAAACATCCGATTCCTCCCAAATCCGTGCGGTAAAATCCCGGAAATGTACGAAGTGGCTCGGATTCATGGGAAACCAAACTGACGTGGTAAAGTGACGCTTCCCGCACGCTAGATCGGTGGGTAATTAGGTATTTTACAGACGGGAGAAGAAAAAAAAATTACACATAACATTCACGGCTAGTTTTGCGTACAAAATAATTTAGAATTTAAGCTATTATCTTGATTCGGGTTTAAAGGCCGTTGTCGATTGTCGATAGACTGAGTCTACGTCCAACATCGGAGATGGAAGGACCTCTGAAGAAGCTCGCCACTGGTGCTAGCGAAACGTTAGGAAGTAATTCCAATCGACGACGGCCTTTAAAACCGAATCAAGATAATAGCTTATCAACGGGCCGCGAAAGCCTTAACCAATTTATAAATTTAGAATTTGTTCGTGAAAATCGGTGCAAAGCGTTTGTTTACATAAGGTTTCAGATTCATGAAAAATGTTAATAAAATAGTCGAAATCACGGAAGATGACAATTGAAGTTGTAGAGAAAGCCGTTTAGTTCAACGTTTGCAAAACTCTAGGATACTTAGCGGGCAAGAACAATCTGAGTGTAAAAAATGTCCAAAAAGCAATTTTATGGAATCTCACCAAGAGGAAATCGAGTAATTCCAGAAAAAATGGAATGGTCTATCAAAAAAAATTAAATAGGTGAATTTACATAAGTGAAAGAATATATAAAAAATCCCAATGAACATTTATGTTGAATTATAGCTGTTGCAATTTAACCGGTGAAATTGAAAACGATATATGTGTCTTAAATATACGACAATTGGTACACAATTATAAAAACCAATAAAATTAATGTAATATCGGAATGCCAAAAGATGGTTTATAATTTTTTTGCAAACAAGTAAGTCGCATATTTCATTGTTGGTGATGATTGGCTATGGATACCACAAAATGAAGTAATTCATTTATGTACTAGACAGTTTTAATGTTTTTATTGTCCGATGAATCAACGTTTATGTTAAAGTTCGATTAATTCTCCGAATTAAATAATAATGTTTGTTAAATATTTCTTGTCCTACTTTAAAACAAATAATAAGGCACTGATCACGCGCGCTCAAAACGTCACTTTAAAATGTCAGATGTCATAAAGATTAAAACACTAATGGTGTTTTGACGTTTGAATGTATTCGTGTTTTTTTTGCAAAAGTGAACCTAAAAATTAATCGACGTGGAACATTGAACATGTTTTTATTTTCTTACAGCAAAAAAATATTCTTTGATTTACTGAACCTATTCCATATACAGTGACTTCCAGCTTAAATGATGTAGTCGCTATTGCAAAAACTAACTGGTCTAAATGTCTATTTACTTTGCAAAAACAACTTGTTGAAATTAAGTTAGCAAAGAGCCTAAGAAAGTGTGAATTACTCATTGTCTTAAATGTTCGTTACTTAGTTAACAATAAATAATAAATTAAATTATATGCAATATTAACGTCACAGCCTAAATGATGCAAAAATAATAACCAAGGCTTTTATTTATTGCTGCAATTGTTTTTTGTTTAGTTTGACATTTTAAAACACGTTTTCGTTCAGTAAAACGACTTTTTTGAAAAATGGGTGGTCGAACTACATTTTCTGAGAGAAATTTGATTATTATTCATCACAGAAATGGTTGCAGCCAAAGAGACATAGCCAAACTAGTAAATAAATAAAATAGGGTCGAGAATAAGTCAAGGTTAGCTCCAAATAAAATCTTCAATGAACGTGAGGAAAGATGGATCATAAGAAAGGTATCGAATGTGTGTCGAGGTGGAAAGACAGTTTGGAAAAAGGTGTAACTCCGAAACAATTCGACGAATCCTTCAAAAAAATAATTTACATGGTGGAACTGCCAGAAATAAGCATTTAATTAGCCGAAGAAATAGACCCGTGAGATTGGTAGTCGCTAGAGAGCATATCGATAAAGATTTGAACTTCTGGAATTCAGTAATATAAACTTGTAAAATAAACTTGTCCGATGGAAAAATATCAGTATGGAGACAGCCTGTATTGATTTGGCTATATTTTGTTTTGCATCATTTAAGCTGCGACGTTGATATTGTATATAATTGAATTAATTTTTTATTGTTAACTAAGTAAGGCATATTTAAAACGAAAAGTAATTTACACTTTTTTAGAAGGATCTTTACTAACTTAATTTCAATAAGTTGTTTTTTTTTTATTTTAAATAAAGAGACATTCAGACCAGTTAGTTTTTGTTATAGCGACTGCATCGTTTAAACTGCTAGTCACTGTAAATATAATAATTGCAAAATGATATTTATAGACGACCAAGATACCGAGGACGTTCAAATCAACATCAAACTTTGAGAATAAGTAAATACACACATTTCGGTACATTCAAAAATTATAAATGAAATAACCCTGATCGCTATCTGAGGTTATCTGTATATGACCTGGACTCGGGATAGGACAGAGCGTCGAACATTACTTTAGTCACTAAGTGACGTATGACGTGACCGTTAGAACTGACAAATGCTTCCAAAAATGCGAGTAAAGTACCGGAAATGTCCGAAGTGACACTTTCGCACGTTTGATCAGTGCATAATTTCCATGTTAAAATAAAAGAGAAAAATCGAACAGAAAAAAACAACAAACGCCGCAGACCCAGTTATTAAAATAATTGTTTCGCACCGACGAATTTAGAATTTCACCGCTCTGCGACGCTCGCCATTTAAATACTAGTCCGGGCGAATTAAAATCGAACGTCGACAAACACAATGGCCGCCTTTGGCTCGTCCACGTTTTTTTTTCTTTTTTTTTCCGCAGGCGCAGTGTTTGTTTTTTGCCCGAATCTTAGAGTCCCCCTTCTACCGGCCGGACCCGAAAATAATTGCCTTCTTTTCGTTGTCGTCTCTCGCGTCCTTTTCTGCTGTCACTTATTTTTTGTGTAAATGCTAATGCGCGGGTCCGCAACCCGATACGCCGACACAATCGGACGTACGCGGCGACGGTTCAGAAAAAAAAAACAGAAAGGGAAATGTCTATTTATTACCGGTCTTATTATGTTTAATTAGGGGGTTGCGGATGCGCTTTTATCGTTTGTTTTCCGCCCGTTCCAGTGCCGCGATTCCCTTCTCAAACTGGCAGTCGTCGCTTTTGTTCTTAAACTTTATAAATATCTCCTTAAATAGTGTCATAAGATACAGGAGAGCTCCGTATACAACGTAGTCATATCGGATGACAAGCGAACTAAAATGTATCAATTATCCTACATAACTTTAAAATCATCTAATAAAATAAGTTAAATTCTTCCTCTGAAATACCCAAAATAATTCGCTGATCAGATGCAATGTGGAAAGTGTGTTTTCGATAGATGTTAGGCAGCCACTTACAGAATGTGACAGTAAACTGACCAATTCCTAATTGACCGGTCTATTGACCAGTTTTTAATTGACTAGTCAAAAAATGTTTTAAACAACATCTTGCAATTGTAGAGTGTTATCTATCGTTATTTAATAATAATATATATTTTATATTAAATTATTATGCGTTTGTGATGTCCAATTTACCTATATCGCTCTTCAAGGAATATCCGAAAACGATACTTATAAATAATGAAATATAAATCCTATGGTATTTTTACAATTATTTCGGTCAATTGACACAAAAAAATTTGAGTGGTCAATTCTATAACCCTAGTTATGAAGGACAACGTGCCAGGTGATATTTTATAAAGTGACCTACTATATTCATTTCCTGAGTTTTGTACTCTTGTTTCGCAAACCGTACTATTTTCAAATCCTGTACCCTGAAAGTACTTATTCGTTTAGTTCTATACTCATTTGTATTTTTAAAACATTTTTTTAGATTATTTTATTTCAATTTTGTTAATTAAATATTTAAAATTATTTTTTCTACTCCTTTCTGTAGAATGCCTAATTACACACCAATCTAGTGTGCGGGAAGCGTCACTTTACCACGTCAGTTTTGTTTCCTACGAATTGCATTTTGACGTTTGTCAATTTTGACGGTCATGTCAGTGAATATACGTGTTGTTTTGCGAAAATGTTCCCAAAAACTAACGGTCGTAGAAAAAGTATAGTATCCAACACACTCGGTAAACTTTTTAAGTCACTCGTTTGCGCTCCGCTCGTGTCAAATAAACTCGTAAGTCAAATGCCGTTTACCGCACTTGTTGCATCATATACTATTGATAGTGATATTCTCTAACAACGTGAAAATTACATTGAGGTTGAGGAGGATACTTTCGCTTTTCACACAATAATCCATAATCAAAGTTTTCGCAGCATGGACTCCACTACTAAATTATTCAAAAAAAAAAAGTGAATCTATCGTAACTAGCGTATTTAATGAATACTGCAGGAAAATGCTATCGGAAAATCTGTTTCATATACATATATCTATTTTATCAAATCACAATGAAATAAACCTATATCCAATT